AGAATGCCAAAGGCCTTCTCTTAGACCTTCCTAAAATACTAGCCTTTACTTATGACATAAGAAACTGTGTGGGAATCTGCCATTTTCCTATCATATCCATTCCAAGAATTAACTCAGGATCTGAGACAATGACACCAAGAAAATATTGGAAGTCCCACTCAGGCTACCATTTTCAAAACTCAGGTCAGAACTCCATTTAAAACCTGGGCTCCGTAATGATCCCCAATTCTGCCAAACTGACTATAATTGGATTACAAGTCCCCAGGAATCAGTGACCACGTGGGGCTGTAACCGATATTTCCAGAGTTGAAGTATTTCCCTTTCCTCGGTGCACATCTATTCGGGTTAACGACTGGCAGCCCCATTAGGAAGGACAAAAGCAGAGCTCGCAGTATGCCTGGGCACTGTTACAGCAGGGTCTTTCCTCATAGGTACCAGCCTCCCCTGCACAGGGTCGGTGAACCCAGAGTTCCCTAGCACCTTGGCTCCAGTGAGGCCTCTGTGCATCAGACCTACAATAGCTTTGGTTAAATAAATCAAGGCACACCTTAATTGGCTGTCTGTCTATTTCATTCCCGGGGACCCCATGATTAATTAACCACAGTCAGAGATTTCTGCTACTGAAGGCATTCCCTGATCCCTGAGTGCAGCATCTGGCTATTAAAACAATACCCGCTTTGCTTCAGACTGTTAACAGTCATCACCTGGGCCAGGCCTCAGCTGGCTTCTCACATCCCCACTGAGATCAGGAATACCATTTTTATTATATCTCCTTCCAAAAGCATTCCAAGCTGAAGGGGAGGTGGGGATGGGGGGGGGGGGGGGGGAGAGGGAGGGGAGAGCCAGCAAAGCACTTTTAAATATTTGGGTATTTCCCTTTTCACTTGATTTTTACTGGCAAAGGAGACTAGTTTTCAGGGCCCAGCCAGGATATAGAGGTGAGACACATGATCCATTTAATCTACTTTTTTTTTAATTTAATTTAAATTTTTTTTTTATTTATCTCCCATAGTCTTTAAATTTTTCCTTCTACATTGTGCCAAGGACTTTCTGGCCTTTTACTTTACCCAAAGAGATCAACAGTGGGTTTGCTTGCTTTAGGAAACCCAGAAAAACTGTTGAAACTACAGTCAACTGCTTGAGCTACCACACATAATGCAGTATGTCTTATTAATAAACTGAATATAATGAATGCAGTTAAGAAAAAAAAATCTTAGATTTCCAACACTGGCTGGCTGCACATAAAAATAATATGAAGAGGTATGTTTTTTGTTTATTTGTTTTTAATATGATGCTTACACTGTCCACTCCCAGATGTTTAAATCAGAAGCCCTGGGGTGAAACCAAGCATCCGTGTTTTCTTAAAACTGCCTAAGTGAATTGGATCCACAGTGAGATTCATGGACCAGGTCTGTAAAAGTTCTCAGTTACTCCTAAGGTTTCTATTACCACTTGTATACTAATGTGTATATTTTTTAATCCTTCTAGGATCTATCTTTTAAGTTTCAGCCCGACTTTCCCCCACTTTTTCAAGAATCTGGAGGCTTACACAATATAAAAGGAATTATCACAAATATATGCACTTACCATGTACCAGGGACACTGCTAAAAAAAAAAAAAAAAAAAAAAAAAAAGTATCTTCTTTGTGTAGACATTTGATTGCCTGTTGTGAGGTTTCTTAACCTTAGCACTACTGACATTTTTGTGCTAGAATATCCTTTGTTGTGGGGTGGAGGAGCTGTCTTGTGGATTGTTTAGGAGCATTCTTAGTCTCTACCCACTGGATTCTAGTAGCATCCTACTACTGTCTCCTCATTGTGACAACCAAAAATACCTTTAGATATGGGCCAAATATCCCCTGGGCATCAAAACTACCATGGCTGAGAATCACTATTCCGAGGTCATCTCTGCATGAACAGTTCACACTTACTTACATTTTAATGTGTTACATATTAAATATATCAATTTTCTCTTTCTTGTTCTTAGTGTTGGATGTTTATCAGTTTTGTACCATTATCCAAACTTCACCACCCAGAAATCTCTCTTTCCCAGGGCAACTGCATATGCTTGCGAAATTGTTTTGTTCAGTATTCAATGTTTTCATATTGCTCTTGAGTGTTAATGTTTCTTAAGTCTCTTTTAAAATTGAACGGTCCTTTTCCCTCCTGTTGTCTTTCCCCAACCCCCTTATTCCCCATCTATCAACTAGATAAATAAATAGGCTCATTTGTCCTGTGGTATACTTGACATTCTGGATTTGTCTGATTGTCCTCCTGATGTCATTCGGCTTGTTCCTGTGTTACCAGGAAACTAGAAGTTACATCCAAAAGCTTCATTAGTTTATGTCAAGTATTTTTGGTGTTGTTCTTATTGCCAAACATCTGTTGACAATGTGTGGCTATGTAGCTTTTAACTAAAGAGGTGTCAGGTGGTGATAGCCTAATCCCACCATTATTAAGTTGATAATTATTCATTATGTTAATACTTATATCATGATAACCTTTCATATTCTGGTTTAAGAATCTATTGGTACTTATTGCCTAAGTCATTTCTTTCTTTAGAAATTATAAAATGGCCATATTTTAGAGGTCCATTTTGACACAATTTGAATATCAATTAGACATCTGAAGTGGAAATAACTTGTAGTAGTAGGTATGCAAGTCTGAACAGTGGGGTGAGAAAGATACATTTAGAAGTTATCAGTATGGCCGAGACCGGTTTGGCTCAGTGGTAGAGTGTCGGTCTGCGGACTGAAAGGTCCCAGGTTCAATTCCGGTTAAGGGCATGTACATTGGTTGCGGGCACAGCCCTGGTAGGGGGTTTGCAAGAGGCAGCTGGTCAATGTTTCTCTCTCATTGACATTTCTAGCTCTCTATCTCTCTCCCTTCCTCTCTGTAAAAAAAAAAAAAAAAAAAAAAAAAAAAAGTTATCAGTATGTAGTAGATTTTAATATTCATATGCTATGTAGGATTACTGAGAGGAGAGGATATGCTGAAAAGGGGGACTAGCAATAAGCATTGAGGTACCCCAACTGTTACAGCTGGATGAAGAGGATATGTCAAAAAAGGCTGAGAGCTTAGCTGAGGTGTCTCAGTGGTTGAGCATCTACCTATGAACCAGGAGGTCATGGTTTGATTCCCAGTCAGGGCACATGCCGTAGTTGAGGCCTCAATTCCCAGTGGGAGGTGGGTGTGGGTGCAGAAGGCAACTGATCAATGGTTCTCTTTCATCACTGATATTTCTCTCTCTCCTTCTCCCTTCCTCTCTAAAATCAATAAAAAAAAAATATATATATATATTTTTTTAAAATGGGCTGAGAGGCAAGATCACCTCCTTAATATCATTTCTCATAACTATTTCTTTAGCACCTTCTCTGGATTATGGTAATCATCTCCTAATTGATCTTACTCTATCATGCTTCACAGAGCTCTCTGAGAAGTTTTTCTAAAAATCAAGTCTATCAAATCAGTTCCCAGATTTACAAAAGCAACATTAATAACTCTACAAAAGCCCAAATATCTACTGTCACCATGTGATACTCTTTCTGATGTTTCTTTCCTATCTCTTCACCTTCCATCTTGCCCTTCCCCATCCCTCACCTGAAATACTTGCTTTTACTTTGTTTTACAGTACTAATTGATATTTAATTTAGTAAATAATCAATGAGCCTTTACTATGTACCAGAAAATATACTAAGCAATTAGGGAGAGGGATAATTTTCAGCAGGTAAAAAAGGTTCCAAAAAGAGGTAGCATCTGAGGACTTTGAAAGAAGGCTAGAGGTTTCACGGGGGGGGGGGGGGGGGGGGGAAAACTTCAGTGTGCATTATAATCACCTGGAGTGGCTTGTTAAATCACAGGTGGTGGGGCCTCTCTCCCAGAGTTTAGGATTTTTTGGGTCTGAGATAGAGGGGTGAGAATGTGAATTACTATAAGGTTCCCAGGTAACGCTGATGCTCTTGGCTGCAGAATCACATTTTGAGAAGCACTGCTTTAGTGCCATTAACATCGAACTGCTGCAGCATTCTTGTTTATCCCTAATCACCCAGAACACTGTGACACATTTGTCAAACTTTAAGGGTCTTTGAGAAGTCTGATTCCACTTGGAGGCCAACAGAGATGGGAAGGGGGTATATATCTTATTCATCTTTGCACAGCTTTGGCATATTACAGAGATGTTTTGCAAATACCATTGATTGGATTAACAAATAACCATGCAGAAACTATCAACAAGTCCCTTACTTAATCAATCCTTAGTAAAAGGGAATAGATGATTACCATTCCTAAGTTAGAAAAATATATAGAAAGTGTTAAAAAAAAAAACAAACAACAACAATAACCCCAACTTTGGTTCACCAAGCGCATCAGTAATCTTTCCTTAGATCATGGTGAGTGCAGTGTATCAGAATTCAGTCTGGTGTTGACCTCAATCTGGATCAGTGCATAGATACTTATGTGTCTCTCAAATACAAGAACACTGAATCGATTTGTTAAGCCACAAAACTGCAATACATTGATATATTAAATGGAATGTAATACATTGCCCTTATATGATATTATGACGTAGAGAATAATACACCTATTATGCTGTATGCTGAGGGCATGCAGGCGACCCTGTAGAGCTGGCTAACAGGGGAGGCGGGTTCCGGGTAAGCCATTGCATACTGGGAGAAATGCAAGGCCAAAGTTGTACAATAGCAGCATTTCCATAACCTCAAAGGACAACACCAGAAGGGTTCCTGTTGCCTTCAGGGCCAGAAGGATCTTGCTCACTGAGATCTGTGAAGCCCAGAACAGCCTTCCCTCCCGCCTCCCCTGGGGGCCAATGCTGGCCCCTACCGAGCCCCATCTATCTCAGCTGGGCTCCAGCCCAGGTGGCCCCGCTCGCAGGAGACTTTCACTTCCGCCCTTGGGCTCCTCCAACTTTTTCCCGCCAACGTCCGGGCTTCCGCCCTCGCCGCCCTAAGGCCGGCGCGACTGCGCATGTGCAGGGCCCGGCCGCCGACCAAGCCCCCCCACCCCCCCAGGCGCCGCGGACGGCGAGCCATGGAGGAGACGGAAGGGAGCCTGTGGCACCAGTTCCCGTTGCTTCTGCCCCAGAACCTGGCGAAAACCGTGTATGAAGGCTTCATTACCGCGCAGGTATTGCCCGGTGGGTGTGGCTCTCTCGCTAGGGCAGCCTCCCTCTCGGGGCGCAGGGCCGCCCCACATGGAGTCTGACCCGAGGGGGTGAGGAGCCCTGACTTACGGGGATTGAGAGGGACGGCAGGTCACGACTCCCCGGACACTATAGGAGTTTGAGAACCGCCGCCGCCGTCGCAAGACGCCGGGGCCAGCGTCCCCGCGAGGGCCCGGGCGTCTGGAGACCCGCGCGCGGAACCTGAGCAGCGGGGGCGTGGCCGGGCGGCGGGGGCGTGGCCGGGATTTGGCCACGCCCCTAGGCCCTCCCCTCTCTGAGTTGCCTCCTTCTCAATGCAGTGGCTGCCCTACATTTAAACTCTGCTCTCTTTTTTGAATTTTTGTGCCTAGCTCTTTCCTCACACCACCGGCACCCACGAAGGTTGGCGGCCGTTCACGGGAATCCCTGCTCATTGGTGTTTCCTGTAGAAGGGACATTTTGGAGGAAAACCTTTTTTTGGGCCCTGTTGCAAATCACGTGTACCGGACCCACCATTTGTGAATTTTTGTAGGAGATTTTGACAACAGAATTGTGTTTGCAGATTCCAGATCGCCTCTCTTGTGGAGTTATTACATGGAGTAACACACGTGTAGGGGCTTTGACGTTTACAAAGCGCTTTCCAAGTACACCATCTCCATATTAACCTCAGCCCCTTAAGGCAGGAATTGAGGAAAAAAATCATTATTCTTGTTTCTTCGTTGAAGAAGTCAAGGCATGGGAGAATGGGGAGGTTTAGTTCCCTTTTCCATGATCGCAACAGAACCCCTTAAACTCGGGCTGATTCCACACCTGGATCTTTCCTCTCTGCGTTTGCACCAAGATACCTTAGGTTAGGATTAGAGTGTAGACTTTTGTTCCCTGACCATTATACTCAACATCATGCCCTCTCCCCAGTACACATATTTTTTTGAGGATTAGGGCTATATCCTAGGAATTACCATTTGTTTTCAAGGCTACTTATAAAATAACCTCTTAAAAATATTGAATTATCAAAATCACTTGCTAAATGAAACTTTTACCTATCCCTAAGAATGGTAGGTGCCAAACAGCTTGAGATTAAGTTGCAGACACAATGACCCTTTATTCCTAAATACTTCAGGTATATTTCACGAGACCAATGACACACGCAGACGTAACCATAATACAATTCTCAAAATCAAGATATTTGACCATGATATAATACCACTATCTAATCGAGTCCATTTACATTTTTTTTAAGTGTTGCAATTACATTATTTTGCTCCCTACCATCTGATTATGTGAGATCTCATATTTAGCTGTCTCTAACATGAAATAGTTTATTAGTCTGTCTTTGGTTTTCATGAACTTGCCATTTCTTTAAATATAAATATATTTTTTACAGAGAGGAAGGGAGAATGATAGAGAGTTAGAAACATCGATGAGAGAGAAACGTCCATCAGCTGCCTCCTGCACATCCCCAGTAGGTACATGTCCTTGACTGGAATCAAACCTGGGACCCTTCAGTCACAGGACAACGCTCTATCCACTGAGCCAAACCGTTTAGGGCTGAACTTGCCATTTCTTAAGAGAACAGGTTAGTTATTAGGTAGAATGCCCCTCAATTTGAGTTTCACTGATGTTTCTTCAAGTTCAGATTATGCAATTTGGCAGAAATGCCCCAGAAAGAATGTTGTGTCCTTTTCAAGGTATTTATATCAGTGGATCTGGTTATTGATAGTGTTTCCTCTGATCACCTATTTAAGTTGGCATCTTTCAGTTATTCATTTGCAATTAATATTATAAGTATTGTACTTTTAGGGAGCTGAAACATTAAACTTAAACTACATACCAGTGCTAAAGTTGTAGCATTGTTGACTTTTGTTTGATTCAGTTAATACTGTGAGAGTTGCCAAATGATTTTTTAGCTCTATCATTTTTTTATTAATTGGCATTCTATGATAAGGAATAGCTTTTCCTTTCCAATTTATATCATAATGGTGTCATGATTTTAAAAATAATTTATTTAATGGGGTATCATCATTGCAATCCTTATTTTTATGTTTATATTGTCCCAGATTTGGCCAGTAAAAGCACATTGTTATTGATATACATTTTGAAATTAAAGTTTTGAATTTCCCTCTTATCACTGTTAAAATTATTTTATGGATGCTAACATGTAGTGATATATCATCATTGTTCAGAACTTTCATAATTTCAAATTTTAGTTCCCTTGCACCTAGGAACTATTTAATAAAAGATTTTTACAAAATTTATCATGGAAGTTCGTTTTTTAAATTTTGTTAACTAATTTCTAGTTTTATTGCATTGTGATGAGATCATATTGTTTATAAAAAGTTTGTGGTTCTTACTGATCCTGTGATCTTGTGTATGTGAGAGAAATTCTTGAGTGATTAAAAGAAGGTGCTTTCTCTGTTATCAGATTATTCCTTTCCTCTTGAGTGAGCTTTGATAGTTTGTTTCCTATCAAACCTAGAAAGGACTTTGTTCATTCATCTAGGTTTTAAAATTTATTGGCTTAAAAGTTACTTATAACATTCTGTTTATCATTATTGTCTTTAGGCTCTGTAATGATGCTCTTTTTATTGGTTATCTTATACTGCATAACTAATTAGTTCAGAGCTTAGTGGCTTAACATAACACATTTATTATTTCAAGATTCTGTGAATCAGGAACTTGGAAGTGACTTAGCCGATGTTTCTGGATCAGTGTTTCTTAGGAAGAAGATGTTGGCCAGGATGTCAGTTATCTAAAAGCTTGACTAGAGCTGAAAGATTTGCTTCCAAGATTGCTTATTCACATAGCCATTGGCTGGAGGCCTCAGTTTTTTTTTATTGCTCTCCGTTAGGAAGGCGTCAGATCCTAACCACAAGGACCTCTGCAGTATTGCTTGACTGTAATGACACGTGGCAGCTAGTTTCCCATGGCTAACTAGTGAGTGATGGGACAGAGAGATCAAGCAGAAAGCTGCACAGTGCCTTTTCTCCCCTAGCCACTGATGTTAACACATATTTATTCAGCTTTGTTCTGTTAGTTAGAAGCAAGTCACAAATGTAGCCCATAGTAAAGGAGGTAATTGAGACACCAACACTGAATGATGGAAGTATTAAAGACATTATGTGCATATTTTATAGCTACCTCCTATCCCAATACTGATAATGGTATTTTGGGTTTCTTCTGATGCATTGGGATAGAGGCTTATACATTTTATTGAAATGATTTCTTCAAGAATCCACTTTTGATATCATTGATTTTTCACTATTTCTGAAGTACTAGTTGAGGTTATTGTAGGATACTCTACTAGGATTTCTCACTATTAGATTGGGGTTATGGGTTTCTGAGAGAAACATCACAGTGTAAGTACCATTTCATCACATCATATTAAGGGTAAAGATTATCAATGTGACATATTACCATTGATGTTGACCTTGATCATTTGGCTGAACTGGTATTTTTCTGGTTTATCTACTGGAAAGTTACTATTCTGCCCTTCCATTCCCCCCTCTGCTACCCCTACACACACACACTTTCCATACTATACTTTTTTCCTTCCCCCATACTGTACTGTTTGGGAGGAAGTCACTATGAGCAGTTCCATTAAAGAATGGGGAGTTATGCTCCCTTTTGAGGTAGTGTTATGTACATAATTTATTCAATTCTTATGCATGGGAGATTAGCTTAACTCCCATTTATTAATTCACTTATTGATAACAGTATGGATTCATTAAACTTATTTTATACTTTGGGTTGTAATAAATTCTTATTTTCTTTGTTGCTTAAATTGAGAGCTTTGGCATTGACAATTACCCTTTAAAGAGATTTTTGAAAAATAAGAAAAGTCTTTATATTTATTTGTTATTAACTGTTTCTGGCACTCTGTTGTATACCAGATTTCCATCTGATTTCACTTAATATCTTCCTGAGTTCCTTTAATATTTCAGGTAGTGTATGTCTACTGATGATTAATTTCTTCAGCTGTTTCATGTCTAAAAAATTGTTTATTTGGATTTTTGAAAGATACTTTCATTGGGTATAAGATTCTAGGTTGACTTTTTTTTTCTTTTAGTGCTTTAAAGATGTCACTTCACTCTCTTGCATTATTTTCTACAAGAACTCTTTTTTTTCTTATTCTTCCTAGTAGTGTGTTATTTTTCCTTTGGCTGCTTTTAAAGTTTTTAATTTTATCTTGGTTTAGTTTTATTTATGTTTTCCCACCACAGAGTTTGTGCAGTTGTTTTTGTTTGTTTGTTTGTTTTAGATCTATAATATAAGGTTGTTTTTCATTTAATTTGGAAAAACTTTAGCCATTATTTCTTAATTTTTTTTTTTTTTTCCCCTCTCTTTTACCTGTATTGGAGACTTCAAATACATGCATGATAGGCCAATTTAAGTTGTTGCATAATTCATTAATGGTCTCCTTTTTTTTTTTTTTTTTTTAACAATCTCTCTGTTTATTTTTGGATGTTCTATTTCTGTTTCAGGTATACTAGTATCTATTTTTGCTAGGTTTAATCTGTTAATACCATCTAGCATATTTATCATGTTAGACATTATATATGCATTTTTAAATCTTTTATTTTTAAAAAAAACATTTATTTATTTTTTAAATATATTTTATTGAATTTTTTACAGAGAGGAAGGGAGAGAGATAGAGAGTTAGAAATGTAGATGAGAGAGAAACATCAACTAGCTGCCTCCTACACATCCCCCACTGGGGATGTGCCCACAACCAAGGTACATGCCCTTGACCCGAATCAAACCTGGGACCTTTCAGTCCGAAAGCCAACGCGTTATCCACTGAGCCAAATCGGTTTCGGCTTTTTTATCTTTTAAATATGGGTCTTCCTTTATATCTCTCCCATGTATATTTAGTATACTCATGCTCTCCTTTACCTTCTTGAATGTCTGTAATATTATACTAACAGTTTAAGAATTTTAAAGCAGTTTTATCATCTGTTTTTGTATTTCTCTTGACTTTTCTTTTTATTATAAATCTTATTTTCCTGCTTCTTTGCATACCTGGTATATTTTGATTGAATGCCAGACATTGTGCATTCTACTTGTGGTATGCTAGATATTATTATTATTATTGCTAGATATTATTTATTCTCTTAAATATTCTTGAGATTTCTTCTAAGCAGCAGTTACTTGGAAGTGGTTTGATCTTTTCAATGTTGGCTTTTAAGCTTTGTTAGGCAGAGAAAGAACAGACTTTGTCTCTATGACTGAGGCAACACTTGTATTTGTTGGCTTTAATAGTACAAGGTTGCCCACTTCGATGGGAAGAAGCTCAACCTTGTGTGAGCTCCAAGATGGTTTTGCATGCTCCATTCTCTTGATTCCTCAGCTTTGGGTGGTTTTCTCACATCCATGTAGCAATCACTATTTAGCTAAAGATTCCTTTGGAAGAATCCTCTGAAGTTCTCTAGTTTACTCGGTAGTTCTTTCTTCTCCATGTATTTCATCTTTGGTGCCGTACATTATGAATCCTGCATACCTTTCCTTCCCCTAATTCACCCCTTTCTTCTTAAGCCAGGGAGAATGTTGGGCTCTATTTCATTCTTCATTTTTGCCCTGCAGCCTGAAAATTCTCCAGGCCATACAGCTGACTATTTACAGAGATTTTCTCATTTGTTTCCCTTTTTCAAGGATTACTGTCCTATATAATGCCTGTTGTTTGATGTCTGACAAATCATTGTTTCATACATATTTTGTCCAACTTTTTAGTTTGTGGGATAGTAAATTCTGTATTTTTTTAAAAATCATGGATAGAAGCAGAAGTTTCCTAAAAATTGTATTCCATTGTTGCTTTTTAAAATCTTCCTTTGAGAAGTCTGATGCCAAAATTATTCTGTCTCCCATATAAGTTATTTGACTTTTTTCTTAGAAGCTATGTACTTTCTACCTTATTTTAAAAGTGTTTTCATTAAGATAAACCTCAAAGTGGGCATTATGAGTCAGTTTTCTCATGTGTCCAGTTGTCCTTTTCAGTATGTGAATTTTCAGAAACTATACTTGGATTATAATTTTAAATAGTATTTTCTTCTATTTTGTTTTCCTTTTTATATTTTCCAATTATTTGTATATTATATTTCCTATACTTGTTTTCCACTTCACTTTTTTCTGATTGTCTTTAATTTTTTATTAATTTGATAATTTTTTTGGTTTTTCTTTGCCTCTTCTGAATTTTTTTTATTCTATTGTTTGTTGAATACCTTTATTACATTTTAATATCTTTTTATATTTTTCTTAATTTTTTTTAAAAAATTCAATTTCTGTCCTTGGTTTTTGAATTTCTGACTCTGGATATAAACACTCAAAAATATATAACTCAGCATTGTAATTTGTTTATCTCTGCAGTTTTGCATGGTAGACTGTCATCACCTGAAATGTTTTGAGTCTCTTATTCTGTTTTTGTCTCATAGTAGTGTGGCACTGATGAAGTCAATAGCTTTTAAGTTTGGAACTGTTTGTTTACAATAGTTTATAAAATTATTAGTTCAGGAATACACTGTTCTGTCAGTGAAGCAAAGTACAGTTTATTTAATGAATGATGTTTTTGTCGTGCTGAGGGGAGGAGTTGAGTGTTTCTATTTTGTTACATAAGATCCCAAGTTGCCACTCTTACTTGTTTATTCCTCCTAGCACGCAGTTTCCAAAGTATTTTTCCCCCTGCCTTTTTACCATCTTCTATTCCTACATTTCCTTTCCAAGACAAACGCCTTGTCTTTTGTGTTCATGTTTAGTCCCTTCTCTGTAGTCAGTGTTCTACCATACTCTGATCTACCAGATTATCTATTATTATTTTTTTTTGTACTTGGTCCAGTCCCCTCTTCTCTCTTCCATGCATTTTTTCTGAAACTCTAGCCATCTAAAAGGAGTTGCTGTTGGAGTTCCAGATTGGAAACACCTGAAAAGCGATCTATATATTTTTTTCCTGCAGTAATTTGAAATTTAGTGTTCTCTGCTTTCTGATTTTACTGAAGATGAGGTGTGTGTGTGTGTGTGTGTGTGTGTGTGTGTGTGTCTTTGTTCTTAATATTCATCTATATAGTGTTTTGGGAGGATGTGTGGAGAGCAATTATCAGTACTTTGGTTTCCTCTAAGCCTGGAAAATCTCCTTTTTGAGAGCAATTAAGAAAAAAAAGCTAATTTGGATATTTTCTTATCATCATAATCAGAAACATATGATGGCATGTGACATGGCATTTGACCTTTTAAAATGGCTGGAGTTTGCAAATAAGGGAGTTTGAAATTTTATTCTTTCAGATAACAGAGCAGTAGAGAAGTTTTACTATTTTTCATGTAAATTTTGAATTCCAGATTGTTCTTACACCTATGTGTGGGATATCTATAAAGTTAGGTTAAAGTTACTACATAATACCTCTTAGTGCTTTAATGAAATAGTGAATTATTGTTACTTGACCTTTTGAAAAGGTCAGTAGTACATTTTGTTTCATTTTTTTAAACGACATTTAAATGTAATGAAAGTCAGAACTGTAATATTACCATGAAAGTAAAGGTTATGGGGTACATTTAATTGTGTTCCTCTATTTTTGAAACTGCTTTGAGGGAGACTGTGCTAAAATTCTTGAGGTAATTGTTTTTCGAGAATTTTATTACTCTTTTTCATTTTATTCTGTTGGAGTAAAAGATTATAATTCTGTTTGTCCTTTTCTGCCTACCTTTGCTCAGATTTCATGTGTATTATCCTATTTAAGTTACAAAGTTTAAGCTGCTTACTCATCTACTTTCTCAAGAAAGTAAAACTGAATATATTTCTGAGGACAGTCTTTCCTTCCTTAGACTCTTGAGTAAAATTTTATGTATTCAAATGTATAGCTAGTGGATATGTAAGTTGAAAGAAGTAATGTAATATGTTAACAATTTTATTAACTGTCTGCAAATGTGGGAGAATTAAATACACTCTGATTTATGAAAATATTTCTCTGATGTTTACATATTTAGATTATTTAACCAAATGTATTTTTATTTTATAAAATATAAAACATTGGAAATATGATTCCTATAATGTATTACATATTATTATTTTTCTTATCAACATCATGGTTTCTATATTCAAAGCAATTTGAAGGAATTTTCTTTTTCATACATTTATTTCCCAAGAAATACACTAACAATTTCTTATAACTCTTATGTTTATGTGAGTGACTATTTGAAAACAATTTTAGTGTTTTGATTTCCCAATAATTACAAAGCTTTGGACAATTACTTTTCCTCAAATGCAATATTATGTTGCTTATATTTTAATAGGTATAAACATTTAGATGAAGTTCCGTTTAGAAAATAAAGGAAACTTTGTCTTTTCTATATGATTCTAAAATTAAGTGAAACTCATAACATTACATGAAAGGTGAGAATTTGAACCTTTTCAATATTTTCCGCAGGGAAGAGACTTCCATCTTAAAATATTGTTGCCTGAAGATTTGCAGCTGAAGAATGCCAGGTAATGTGTTTTGTCCTATACTTGCATCTTTATGGAATGGGAAATCAGTCAATCTGCTATAAACTGATTTCAGTCATTAGAATTTTGCTTAAAATGCTTATTAGTCATTTCTGATTTTCCCAAGTCATTGTGCATTTGTAAATGATTTTCCCTGGTGCTGAAGTACTTTTCAAAGGTGACACATAAATTCTCTACTTTTTTTTTTTTTAATTTAAAGCAGTAAACAGCAACTGTGAAAATTTTACTAACAAATATTGAACTGAAGTATAAAGTGAAAATACAAAATAATTATCATTAGTACAGACAGCCTGTCAAGGAATGTTAAGAGATGAGACTAGAAATTTAGGTAGTGCTCCAAATCTCATTTCTGCTCCTAAATATCTCTAGGAGGAGGGGGTAAGGAAGACTCCGGAGGCATTTACAAGTAGAATTGATGGATTTTGTGGCTGATTAGAAGTGGGAACTAAGAGGGAACGAAGAGTGGAGATACTTTCCAAATTCCTGGCTGAGATCACTAAGCTAGAGAAGAGGGCGTTGATGGAGAAATTGTTTTAAGACATATCCAGTGTGAAATATAAAGACAGGCTATTCCGTAGTAATAGAGTATTGGCGTGTTAATTCCAGTGTGATTCTTGGAATGGAGATGCCTGTGGAATTCACAGTAGGCATGGGTTTGGAGCTCTGAGTACAGACAGACTTTCAGCGCTGCGTGTGTAGGGTGGAAAGAGAAAGCCAGTGAGGGTATACCCAGTGAGGGTAAATAAAGAGGACCTTGGAGGAAGACTAAGGATTGACCAGAAAAGTAAGGGGAAAAACTGAAGCCAAACACAGAGAGACTTAAGGAAGGAGTGGTTAATAGTGCTGAGTGTTGCAAAGGGATCATGTTAGAAATGATTAGGTTTTATGAAGACAGGTGTATTGGGTTTTAGCATGGATGAGTGGGTAGAAAGGAAATGTAAGCAGTATAAACTACTTTGTAGAAAAGGAGTGCCCAACGCTGGGAAAACTCAGGCCTCCCACTTCTAGGTAAGTTAAATCTCTTCCTGGAAGAGTTACTTGCCTAACAATGTTGAAAGCACAGCTGAGATGATCCAGTAGATAGATGAACATTAACTATCAGTAACACAATTAAAAGGCTGTATCCTTTTGGTTATATTACTCTGGAATTTGAAGAAGTATATTAAGATCTAAACTGTTGGTTCTATTTAACCACCTCAGAGCAGAATCTGGTTCAGTAGATAACATTGCTATGTTTTAAAAAAGATGTACTGTTTGCTTGTCATTTATTGATTGCAGTTATTTATATTTTGAAATAAAATTAGTACTGTTAGTTTGAAAACTTTGAACTTTATAAGTGGTAAAAATTTTATTAACTTTTCAGAATTATGTTGGTCATTCTTTTCTGTGCTCATGCCTGTTTGTCTTATCATACATGTAAGTTTTTTCCTATTCTGAACAATTAACACATTATTTTATTCCATTAAATTTTAGATTACTATGTAGTTGGGAGCTAAGGACAATACTTTGTGGATACCAACAAATAATACAACAAGTAAGTACTTTAAAAGGTTTATGTTTTAAGCAAAGGTAAGGAATTACTAAGTTTACTTTTTTAAAAGTCTTACTGTGCAGAATCCTGTAACAAACTAGTTGCTAAATTTTGTAGGTTTAATATCTATGAAATATTTTAAGGATCTATGCATTATGTAAAGTGCTCTTCTGTCTCAGAATCCTTAGCACATCTCTGGGCAGCATTTATATCCAAGATTTCCATCCTTGAGACTTCAGGGTCTTCAAGTACATTTACCCTTATCCATATCCGTCACTTTTTGAGTGATTTTTTCTGCTAAGACTGAATAATGGTGGTATAAAGAAATGCCAGGACCCATTTAGGAGTTGTAGGATATCTGTGACAAAAATGGAAATGTAGTTCTAGATTAGTAACAGAAAAGATGTGGAGATCACTTTAGGATCATGTACATGGACATAATAGGAGTAGCTGTAAAGGCCACATTAGTGAGATATAGGCAGGATTAATTTAGTTATTTTTAAAATTATTGTATACTAGTAACTGGAAGTTTGTACCTTTTGATCACCTTTACCCATTTTACCCACCCTCTGTACCCTGGTTTAGTTATTCTTAATGTTTACGTTCCTCTACCTGAAAATTCCTTTAAAGAGTAAAGAAACTTTAAAACAAAATCATTGTTACTAAAGCAAAGGAAAAGAATGAAATGCTTCTTGTAGAAAAATAAATTAACTAGAAATGCCTTTCATTTGTATGCTTTTCCCTCTTATATTTTCTCTATCTAAAAGGCAGATTATTATCTATGATAACTGACAATGACAGAAACTCTCACATAAAGCATTACCGCACCAAAAAGAAATAATAGGAGAGAAACTATTTGATTGTAGAATGTAGGCTGTAATTGCTGGCAGTATAATTACAGCCATTTTTTAAGGGGATGCTTAAATTATTTCTTCTCTCCTCCCTCCCCCCCCCCCCCCATTGCTCCCTCCCTGTCTCCTGTGTCTATTTATATTTTACTAGAGGCCAGGTGCAGGAAAGTTTTGCCCGGTGGGAGGGGGCATCCCCTCAGCCCAGGCTGCACCCTCTCCAATCTGGGACTCCTCAGAGGATGTCCGACTGCCGGTTTAGGCCCGATCACCGGGATCCTGGACCACTGGCTTCTAATTGCTCACCTGCTGCCTGCCTGGTCACCCCTAACTTCCCCTCCCCCCACCCCCACACCTAGCCTTATCATCCCTAAATCCCCCCACCCTCCTTGTTGGCCTGGTTGCCCCAAGCAGCCTGTTGTTCAGTTGTTTGGTCATCCCTCACTAACCCCCCCCTTGCCAGCCTGGTTGTAGGCAGCCATCTTGTGAGAGTGTGATGGTCAATATGCACATTACCTCTTTATTATATAAGATATCAAAGTTTAAGAAGTGAATCTATTGAGATATTTAATAAGATATCTGGTTTTCTTCACCAATTCACCAAGAAGGTTCCTAAAAAAGTCCTAATTACTTAATCTTCTTTCTGCCCTCCAGTTGGTTATATAGAACCCAATATTAGTTGAGTCTTTGTTTTATTCCAAGTCCAGATGAATATCACTATTCTTTGTTTCATTTTTTTTAATTGAGTTCAAAGAGGGAGGAAGAGAGAGAGAGAGAGAGAGAGAGAGAGAGAGAGAGAGAGAGAGAGAGAAACATAAATTATTAGAGAGAATCATTGATCTGCTGACTCCTACATGACCCATTCGGGGAATTGAGACCACAACCCAGGCATGTGCCCTTGACCAGAATCGAACCTGGCACCCTTCAGTTTGCAGGCTGACACTCTATCCACTGAGCCAAACTGGCTAGGGCTCTTTGTATCATTTTTAACTAGTAAATATGGGTCAGGGGGTCGGCAGCTTTTTTCAGTGAAGGACCAGATAGTACATGTTTGAGATTTTGTGGACCGTAAGTTCTCTGTTACAGCCACTCAACTATGCCCTTTAGCGCCAAAGCAGCCCATGACAAGAAGTAAAGGAATGGCTTAGCTGAATTTCAGTACAGGTTTATTTACAAAAGCATGCATTGGCTGGATTTAGCCTCTGGACGTATACCTTGTATATAACTTATTACTCATTTTTAACAAATTGAGGGGAAGGGAGAGATATTATATAGAAGAAGAGAAAATCAAAGATTTGTTCTAAAACATGAACACACTCAAAGTTGTGTTAAGATGTGAATCTTATGTCTCATTCATTATTGCTAAAATACCTTAGATTATTATTTTTGTTTCTAAAGAGAGTGAACAAATTCATATATTTACTTTGTCTAGAACTGTGTAGCTGTAGTGAGGGCATCACAAAAAGTAACAAAAATACAATATTTTGAATTCAGGCAGTGAAATGATAAAGAACTTTAAGAAAACTATTTAAATTAATTTTTTTGCTTTCTCTTATTGTATAGTTATTTTATTTTAAGAATGATTTCTAAGAAATGGAATAGTGATTCTTTTTAAAAATATATATATTTTATTGATTTTTTACAGAGAGGAAGAGAGAGGCATAGAGAGTTAGAAACATCAATGAGAGAGAATCATCCATCAGCTGCCTCTTGCACACCCGCTACTGGGGATGTGCCCGCAACCAAGGTACATGCCCTTCACCGGAATCGAACCGAGACCTTTCAGTCCATAGGCCGACACTCTATCCACTGAGCCAAACCAGTTTCTGCAAGGAATAGTGATTCTTAACTACTCATTCTACTTTAGAAGTTTTCTTTTGCCATTTTGTTATATTAGTTTTACCTTATTGAAACATTGACTCCTTTTGAATTAATATGGGTTAATCATGAAAGGACAAAAATAATAATTACAGGTCATCTTTAAGGTCAATAAAAATAAAAATAGACAGTATTATAATTATTGATTAATTGCTCTAACTAGATATTTTTAGTTGTATAGATTTGCCTGATTTTTATATTTTATGTGCCTATTTCCACTTTCTTCACTCCCTTAAAAAATAATGATGTGGTTTGCTAGATTTGCTAAACTTGACAGTAATTGGTGCTAAAGAGAGGAGTGTGTGAGTTTTAGGTGACAGTCTACCCAGTTCAGTATATCTCACAAGAGTAGATTTTAAGTTCTAGTTTACTCTTTCAAAATGAAATTCATAGGAATAGTAAGGATGTTGACTAATACTTCATTCTTATACTTTTATTATGTAAATATAATTAATATTTTTCACATTCACATAAGTGTGTATTTTATTTTGGTTTCAGTGAATGGAATATTCATTGTACAAGTGAAATTAATTGGAAATGTCATTTTGATCTAGAGAATGAAGCACTCTCCTGATCTAATGACCTTTATGATGGAGTTGAAGATGGTCTTGGTAGGTATTTGTTTTCTAACACTTACCATAAGTATTGATTGCTTTTGTAATTCCTGTATATTTTTTATCTTACTGTGAAAATCTTGGTTTCTAGTATTAACATTATTATTATTTTTGGTATATTGGTCATTTTATTTCAAAGAAATAATCATTAATTCAAAACTAAAATACTGAATTCATCTCTGAATCACAATATTTTCTTTAGTACATTTATTACTATAATTCTGAATAACATGAGATCATATTTTTTAACTTTCTAAAGAAATATGGACAGTATTGGTGATATTATTACACACTTATGATAGTGTATCTAAAAATGGAAGAATTATTAGTTTATTTGTTGGGATTTGTTATTAGTAATAGGGTTCCTATAATACAATCACTGAAAAAAGCATTGATATCTCAATGAAATCAGTAGTTACTGAATTTGTTCAGGAAATTTTGTAAATCTTCTATGGAGTTTCCTAGTAATAATTGGGCATATAAGAGCTGTTCTGTACACATTTAATAAATGAACAATTACCCATATTTTTAAAAACTGTATGAGGTATAGGTTATTGTATGCCTATTTTAGAGCCGAGTCGTTAACTGCCTAAGACCTCAAAACTAAGAAATATTCACGTTAGGATTTAAAAGCTCTGAGTGTAAATACTCTGCATTCTTTCTATTACATACCTTTGTGTCCTTCTCCACAAAGAAGGCTTTGCTTCTCTGCCTTTGCTTTTTTCCTGTTATGGTTCTACGATAGGAGTGACACGTCTGACCTAAGGAAGAAGGCAGAGTTTACAAATATAAATTTAGGATTAAAATACTGTTTTTATTATTATCCAAGTTTCTTTTTACTTTCAATATTTGAGGGAAGTAATAATTAAAATTTCTGAATAAAAATAGAAATTTCAAAGGAAATACTATACACGTGTTATATGTATAAGTACAGGAACTGTAGTGACATATTTTTTTTAAATAGATAATCTTAGCAAAACAAATATATCTTTATGGACCATCAGGTTATCATCAGATATCATTAAGTGTTTAGTTTGTAAAAAACAAACTCGTGTTTTCTAGGAGTTTACCTTCTAATCAAATTTAAATTGATACTTTGGGCTTTAGAAATCTGCTTTTTCAGGCTTTTTTATTTTTAAAATTATAAAACAGATTTAGAACTTTATTAAAGTACTTCCAGTTAATAGTTCTGATTTTGAAATATACTGTTTTTTAAAGTCTGATTCTTTTCAGTGTTCCCTAAATTTGATAATATGTTATCCTTGTTAAAAAAAAAAAAAAATATAAGCACTAATAATTAAACATATACTTAAAACATTAAAATTTATACCTTTTATTAGGGTTACATTTATATAATTTTTAATGCTTATTTCCATATGGTTTTGGTATTGTATTAGATTTCTTTTGAAATTTTACTTCCTTTAGTTTTTAGATTCCTTTTGATAATTCAGACTATATGAATATCTATATATTTTGTAGATAGCATTCGTTTTTATTTTCCAAATAACACATTCGTCTAGGTTCTCACCTTTGCAGTAATTGTCATTTTTAACCTCAGCAATTCTAGTTATGTTTGTATTGCTTCTAAAGCATAATTTTAGTTTTGTTTGGAGGAACATAAACCATCTTAAACATATCTTAGGTAAGCCTAGTAGAAAAAGCAATTGTGACCTAACCAGATGGCAAAACACTTGAACTTGCCCAGTCTGGGAGTTATACAGAACGAAGAAAGAAATGAGCAGGTAAGTATTTATTGTGAAAATGAAGAATTTTTGTTTATAAGGTAATTCATAATGTGTATTAATGTATCAGTCTAGGTAATATAATTAAGAGTTCAGGTTTTTCTTTAAAGGTACATGTTACTTTCTATCAAACATGTTCCAGGAGTAGTAAGATAGTAATGAAGCCTTGTGGATGAGTATTCTTTAAGAGATGTTTTTCATCTTTGATAAGCATAATAGAGGAGAATATTAAAGTTAAAGTTGAAGGTATAATAATTGACTTTTTTTTTTTAACCATTCTAGTTTCTTAATTGATTTAATAAAGAAGAGAGAGAGAAAGAAACATCAATGATGAGAGAGAATCATCGGCTACCTCTTGTATGCCCTATGCAGTGGATTGAGCCTGACGCCCGGACATGTGCCCTGACCAGGAATTGAACCGTGACCTTCTGGTTCATAGATTGACAATCAACCACTGAGCCACACTGATCAAATAATTGACATTTTTATATGATCTTCAGTGCAGTCCTTTAAATTTTTCATGTCTCTCTCTTTTTTCTTTATGAGAAGTGGAAAGATTCAGTTGGATTTGTTATTAAAAATAATGGACACTTTGGTTAGATACAGAGAAGATTATGAAATTGTTTTGTGTAATCAGGTACTAACAAATCATTGTCTGGCATTCCACAGCTGATCCAAGTTGTTGTTGTTTTTTCTTTTAAATAGGAAGTTGCTTTAAAGAATAAACAAGAAATGCATGCACTACCTCCTTCTCCCCAGTTCTACTCAAGCCTTATTGAAGAAATAGGAATTATTGGTTGGGATAAGTATGTCTATTTTAAAATATGTTTTAGAAATGTCTTTATTTTACACATTTCAACTTAATATTTTTTTCAGTTTTAGCAATCTATTTTATACCTTTATAATAAAACTAGAGGCCCAGTGCACGAAATTCATACATTTGGGGTGGGGGTGTCTCAGCCCGGCCTGTGCCCTCTCACAGTCTGGGAGCCCTCGGGGGATATGTAAGTGCTGGCAGTCGTACATCCTTAGACACTGCTGCTGCTGTGCTCCCCAGCCCTCAGTCTGACTTGTGGCTGAGCGGTGCTTCCCCTGTGGAAGCGCACTGAGACCTGAATTGTACTGTCCCAAAACTGGTATTGCTACATTTTGAGGCCCTGCCTCAGCAGCTAGCTAGCTTTTTCATTTAAAATACTAGAAGCCTGCCAAAACTGGTTTGGCTCAGTGGATAGAGCATCAGCCTAGGGACTGAAAGGTCCCGGGTTCGATTCCGGTCAAGGGCCTATACCTTGGTTGCGGGTGCATCCTCAGTGGGGGGTGTGCAGGAGGCAGCTGATTGATGATTCTCTCTCATCGGTGTTTCTATGTTTCTAGCTCTCTATCCCTCTCTCTTCCTCTGTGTAAAAAATCAATAAAATAAAAAAGTAAAAAATAAATAAAAATAAAATAAAATACTAGAAGCCTATGAGGGCATGTGACAGGGGGTAGGAGAGGATAGGGGAAGACATATAGGGGGGAAAAAGGAGATATATGTACTACTATATAATACTTTAAACAATAAAATTAATAATTAAAAGCAGTGGTATAAATGGCAAAAAATAAAATACTAGAAGCCTGGTGTTTGGATTCATGCACCAATGGGATCCCTCTGCTTAGCCTTTGGGGATCAGGCTGAAACCAGCTCTCTGACATCCCCTGAGGGGTCCTGGATTGCAAGAGGGAGGTTCTTGGGTGATGTACCCGGAATTGGGCTCCCTCCTCTCTGATTCCAGGTATGTCGCCTGAGAACCGCAGCTGCCAAATCACCACAGCTAGGCCGCTCCTATGTTGAGTGACTGCCTCTTGGTAGTGTGTGTCATAGCTATTGGTTGGAGTGTCTGCTCCCCTGGTGGTCATTGCACATCATAGCTACCAGTCAAATGGTCGGCCAGTCACTTGGGCTTTTATATACTGTATATAGATCTTTTTTAAATGATACGCATAATGATTTGTATGACAATCTAGTTTAAGTGGACTATGAGAATCTCAGTGATTGCTAGACCATGTCAATATATCCATATTTCATTTGCATTCTTAGCAATAATCTTATAGATTTGTTAGTGTAATAACAAAATCTGATAATAAAAGAAACATCTTAATGAAGACCTTGCTGTGTTTTTAAATTACATACTTGACATTTCTAATTAACTCTATAGGATCAGGCATTATAAAAAATTAAGTTAGAAATTATATAGAATTAGTAGCCGTCTTAAGTTTGATTGCTGTTGTTATAATTTCTATACATGTTTAAACTTCTTAAAAAGCACACTAAAAACAGCAAGTTGTTCAGAGGATAAAGATGAAGATGATATGACAGTTGGGTGTTATGCTGATTCACAAGGGTGAGGGATGCAAAAAGATGTCTTGATTGGCTGCTGTTAACTTCTGCTTGTGTTGTTTTGTAGAGTAGCTCATATAAAACAAAGGGAATTAAATAGAGTCCTTGGTGTTTAGCAGGATTGTCTGTTTGGTACTATGAATGTCCCGAAGTTACACGTGGGCTGATCTACATCTCACTTTATCTAGGATAGTTCTATTAATGAATGCCTTTTATCCTGACCCCTGTCAATCTCAGAAGTGTCCCAGTTTGGAAGAAATTCATAGTCACCTTATTTATAGCAAATCTTATGGTTGTTTTAATAGTCACATAGCCCCAGATAATTCAGAGATTAAATGGGGAAGGGATGTGATGGTTTTATCATTTTTATAGCATATTACTTATCAGAGTGAGTAGAATTCAGGTATTTGGCCTTTCAGATTTGTCTTGGGAAAGAGCTGAATTTTATCTAATTTGTTGTACCACTGAAGGATTGTTCACATATCTCAACATATATTAAGTTAGATTTTTAATTAAGCCTATTATTTTAGTAATGGATTTGATCCAGTAAATTTATCCAGTGGAATTATGTTCTATAATTCTCAATGAATTTCAAAGAACTACGTAACATATTGGAGTAAATGGAATACTTGTTTATACTAAATTAATTTCAATAACTGGACAAGGACTTTAATTCTGATTTATCAGCTGTGTGACCTCGGTCATGTAATGTAACCTCCCTAAGAGCCACATTTCCTTCATTTTTAGTTTGAAACTAATAATGAGTGTTGAAAAGAAACATGTTATGTGACTCAATTAATCCCTGACTAAAGTTTCTATAAAGTTGTTGAGACACTAGATCACTCAAAAATGTCAGACTGTATATGAGTTTTACAGAGATTTAATTAGTGTTGCGATTTAATTATAACCAGTAATAACTTTTGTTATAAAATGCAAAAGAATATAGATGTTAACAAATTACCTTTATAAGAATGTTTTTCCTCATTCATATCCAAGTCATTTAATAACTGCAAATTATCTAATAGTGAAAAATTTTGTTTTTCTAAATTGGTTGTGTTGATAGTATCTAATGTAAGCAGTTGTTTACTACACACATGTGAAGCATAAAAATGACCGGTCTGAATAGCTTTTCCATGTTCATTTAATACATAGAGCACTGGCACATATTCAGAAGGGTAAAACTTTTATATTCTTTATAAAAAAAAGCAATAAACTTACATGAAAAGCAGCAATGTGAGAGTTTTAAGAAAGGTGAGGTCCTTTTGAGTTACAAATCATTTAAAAAGGTTTGTAGAGAAGGTGGGTTTTGGGATAAGAATGGAAGGAATGTAGAAAGACTTAAAAGGGAGGGATTGGTGGAGGCAAGGCTGTATTGATGGAAATGTACAATTTTTGAACTTTTGAGTAAATCATTCACTCCCATAAGAGAATTAATATGAGGGCGAGACTGACGGGTCTTAATGCTAGACTAAGGATTCTTTCTATGTAGTTGATGAAGGCTCATTGAGTATTTTTGAGCAAGGAGTTACTTAGGTAGATTAATGTAGTCATGGAAGGCAGGATAGGTTGATGTACAGAAAAGACAGGAAGTAAAGACACCAATTAGGGAGGTTGCTTTTTGAAATGTAGGTTTGAAGTGTTAATGCTTAAACTTGAGTGTAGGGTAAAAATAGAAACTTTGATGCTTTATTAAACCATGAAGGTCTTCAGTCTACCTTTTGATGTTATTACTATGTAAATATACCTAGATATTTAAATAAAAGAAAAACTATGTAACTTAGGCTTTTGGTCAAAATAGGTACACTATTTCAAGCACATTCCTTCTGCTGCTCTACTGATAACATTCAGCTACTAACAAGAACAACAAAAATCTCCCTGAGCTGAAGTATCCTTTTTAAGTATTATAAAACTTAACTGCCAAGTTTAGTGCCGTTTTACTTATTGCAAGCATATTTACAAAGAAATGCAGCAAGTGATAAATACAAAGTAAAGTGCCAAAGGTATATTTTATTTCTTTAGATTTTATATATGTTTTATATTTTTAGTCAATTTTGAATGTGCCTAGCTAAGTAATAATACCCAAACTTCTTATCTTAAATGTGATTTCACAACTTTAAAAAATATTGAGCATTTCAATGATGAAAGTTTTTAAAATTTATTATTAAAGTGAATCATTTACCTAAAATGAGTAAAAATTATTCCATGTTGTTTAAATCAAGATACTCACCATAACAATAAAATAGATCGTTTAAAATAGTCTTTTTTAAGAATGATTTTTAAAAATTATTTCTAAGAGCTTATCACTGTTCTCCTCTCTATAATATCTTTTTTTATAGACCAAACACTAAGATATTCTTTCCTACTGTGAATGGATATAAATATGTTCTTTTAGTTAGGGTACAAGTTAAACTGCTATTAACAAAGAGAACCCCAAATCCTCAATATTTCAAACAAGATAGAATTTTAGTAATCTCATTAACAGCTCAGAGGTAGGCAGATGGTCAACAGTGAATACAGGTGGCGCTGTCCCACAAGGTCATCCAAGAACTCAGGTTTCTTTCACTTATTTCTCAACTATCTACTGTTGCTTAATTGTTCAGTGTAGTAGTTACTATCCACATGTGGCTATTGGCATTTATATTTAAACTACATTAAAATTTCAGTGTCTATAACAACTATATTTAAAATTTTTCGTAGCCACGTGTCACGAGGATCTGTTGTTTTGGACAGTGCCTCCATTGTGGAGTACCTCCATTGTTGCTGATTGTTTCAGTGGTCAGAGTGGCAATAAGAGAGTTGTTCTTGTCTGCCTGGTCTTTGCTGGCTTATATTGCTCAGACCTAGTCTAAAGGAAGGGAGAGTGAGAGAGGCACTGGAGAGAGTAAGGCAATATTTTGTCAATAAAAATAATTCAAAAGGTGCACATATCAATCACTTTTATTATCAGTCTAAAATTTAGTGATAGGCTGATACCCAAGGGCAGCTGGGAAGGATTGCTAGCTGAATGGAGTGTGCCCTGCTAAATCTTGGTGTAGTTAGGGGTGCTATAGAGGCAGGGATTCTATTACCAAAAGGAGAAAATTAAAAGAAATACTGGAGGTCATGTAGCAGGGTAGGTCACATCTACTCAAGGTGTTAATAATCATGAGATTTCTCCCTGTTCCTGAAACAAAGTAGAAAGAAATTGACATGGGTAAAATGTATAATTTCAAACGACTAGGCTGAGAGTAACCTAAAGTTATAAATGTTTTTACTGTTTTTACTTGATTTCTTAAAGTTTAACAAAATTAATCTTACCATTTTAACTGCACAACCATATTTTGAGCATGACATTTTTATCTAATGTTTTATCTCCATGTCTTCACCTTTATGGAACGATGATAATCTTTTGTTTGTGTGACTGGAAACAAAAGACTAGAACTTTTATTTCTGTCTAAGAACATCTGGATGAGGAGCAGCAATGTGAAATACAAAAAGGACTAGTTGGTGATATAGTTGTTTCTTTTCTCTCCCCACCCTTCTTATTCTCTATAGGGATATATTCATCATGGTTATAAATGATTTAAGGCTCATAAAGAAAAACAGCAGCCTTTCCCCACACCATTTTTTTAAACTCCAGTCTTATTCTCTGAGGCAAATACTCTGAAATATTTATCCTTACAACTTCCATATTTTTCAATGATATGCCTACATTCAAAATTGCTTGATTATTAATTTTAGGAATTACATAGTGATAACTATAATTAAAGAGGGTTTAGTTCCTATACCACCATCTCCCTCCTTTCTTTACTATTCTTTTATTTTTCAATTAGATTTAATATTTCTTAAACTTCTTTCATGTCCATTTAATTAATGATATGTATCTTTTACTCTCAAATTAGCAATTATAAGTTTTAGTGGTCCGAATCTTCTCTCCTCATTTCTTTCCCCATTCTACTTGTCAATTTTTGTCACCTCTTGTAGTGGTTAAATATATTTACATTCATTTCTGTAGCTACAATTCTTTTAGCTTTGTTTATTCTTGGATTTTCAAAATTGTAATTAGTAAGCAGTTTGATATTTTTCATTAAAAAGTTAATGGTAGAACAATTACAATTTTAACATAGCTTCATTGTTTATAATTTAGATTAAAATTTTCCTTTTCCTTTTTGGTTTCCTTTTTTTTATTATTAAACATTCCCTTAATTTCTCCTTATATATATCATACCCTCTATTCTCTCTATTCTATAGACTTTCTTCCTTTCCTTCCTTTGCCAGCTATCTTGTTCCCTGGATCTTCTTTTTCTGTTTGTTGTTGTTGTTGTTTTTTGTTTGTTTGTTTGTTTGTTTTAATGTGTTTGTCACTCAGTGTTCTTCAAACCACTTATTATTTTTATAAAATTTGCTTTAGTTGATGCTATTTCCTTCTTATTCTTTTTGTAACTATGGATTTATCTACATCTTAAAAATTATTTTTTAGTGAGTAAAGAGAGGATATAAATAAATTATGTGCTATATCAGCATCTTGAATCTGAAGTGTTGATGCTTTCAAAGTTATATGCCCATATATCTGAACTTAGAGTTATATTGATAAAATGTGTGATAAAGTCTCATATTCTATATTTTGGGGGTTAGGGGAATTTGAGATACTTACAGATATAGCTGAAAGAAATTAGTGATTAAACATTTATGTATATCATTGATATTTTTGTGTAAGTAAACATCTTTTCTGGAATCGTTTTTTTCTAAGACCCTAGACTTTTTATAGATTATGATAAACATTCTTCTGCTGATAAAGACTATCTTATCTTTTAGTTTGTTGTTTAGGATATGCACCTTTTTTAGATTTAAATCTATTTTTTATTACAAATAGTGTTCCACAACTTTATTGCCCATTATTTTTGAAATGGACCCACTTTCACTCTTATACCAGGCCAGAGACTAAGCAGCACACAGTGATGTTAAAACATGTTTCCTGGGTTAGAAGGCTAATGTTAGTGCTGACCTCTAATGGGTCTTACCATCAGTCTGGGTGATAAGTTGTGCAATGCTCTTAGGCTACTTTTTATCTTCACAAGAGAATAGTATTGTAAAAATGTCAAAAAATATTCACATGCCCAGTTCACTAGTAAATATACTACTAAATTTGAACATTTTTGGCAGTAGCTTATGCTACTCAAGGGACCATAGTTTTACAGAATGATATATTTCAAAGGGTATTGGTTCCCGTTGCAGAAAATTCATACATTTAGAGCAACTTAAAGCCAAAACAACTACGCTTGTGCTATATGTTTAAAATATTAGTCATCTTGAATGCATTCCCAGGTTAAGTGTCAGAAGCTATCTGTCACAGAAAAAGAAAATTTATTGTTAGGAGATCAGGCTATACCTGTGCTCACACAGCATTTTCCTTAGAGGATCAATTTAAGTATGAACTAATATCGGCCAGGTTTTTGTATAGTAGCATTATTGATAATAAAGGAAAAGTTCATCATGGAGAAAACAAATAAAGGAAGCATAAGAGTCTCATACCGTATAAAACTACAGAAATGGATCAAAGACTTTGACAGGAAGTTTAATGTGTACATAAGTAGAAGCTGACAGGAACATGCTGTGTGTGCCAGAGGTTCCAGTGATGGAAAACCGAAACATAGTGCTCACTGACCACAGCATGAGCCTTGACACACATTGTAAATAATCCAGAGATCTATGACTACATTAAGCACTAGGCTGGTGTATTAATGGCAGTAAATCTATATAGCAGCATAAAGGGCTGGCATGCAGAAACCCCTCTGATTAATTTTGCAATGGATTAATAGAAATATAGCAAATATTTTCATTTCCAATTCTACCATTCTCCACTCCCCCTGCCCCCAGTCCTGTCCTCCCCAGTGTGATCACTTTTTATTCTCTTCTTCTCACCAGACTTGTATATGTGGATTCTTCCTTCAGTACCATCAAGTTAAAAGCTGAAGATGCTTCTGGTAGAGAGCATCTAATCACTCTCAAGTTGAAAGCAAAGGTATGTGCTTTATTAAACTGTTATTGTGGTCAGAAAATGCTTCATGAAATGACCTCTATTAATGTTTTCAATCTAATTAAGTGCCAGCTGCTTCTAAAATATGTACATATGGTACTTTAAAAAATTATTTGGAAAACCTCAAAGAAAATTCAGCAGGTTTCTAAAAGCCTAGATATAATTTCATGTCACTATTGTAGTTCAAATGTGATCAAAATATAGACTTCATAAAAAAGAAATATTGCAGTAAGATTCAGCAGCTTTAAAGTATCAAAATGTTATTTTTGTAACATCCAATACAGAAAAAAGTTGGAAGTTTCCATTATCCCAAGTAAAGTTCTACTAAAGGTCTTTTGTCTTCAACTTGACTATGAATTAATTACCTTTATAGTTCTTATTTCTGACCCACTCCCAACCACCATACACAGTCATACACATACGTGTATTTTTTATTGTTTGTTTTGGCTGATTTTTTTTTTTCTGTTATTTTAAGAATTTGCCAAGGTTATGCTTCTCTTTACAGGGCCTTTATAGGCTAGTGATCTATAACTATTCATTAATTTATTAGCACAAAATATAGCTGTTTTATCTTTATTTTTTAGTTCTAGATTGTGAATTTTGAGAAATAAGTAGAATAAGCAAGTTCAGCATATTAATCATTTATTTAGTAATCACTAGGGAAACATAAGAATTTCAGAAAACCAGGACATCTTTTTTTTATTGTTCCCAGGAGTCATCAATCAACTCTATTTCAGAAGATTGCAGTGATGAAAAGATCAATTGTGTTTGTCCTTTTTAAAAATGTGCCTGGCATTTAAGCTTTCCATGAGAGAGAATTAATATATAAAGCTGTACTGGGTGACACAGAAAAGTTGATATCTTATAGTGCCTCTATATCAGACAAATTGAGAAATTACTCATTCCCTCTCTTTTCTCACATACAGAATGTTTAGGCATATATAATTTTAAGACTCGTGTGATAAGTCCTAAAAAATATGAGTGGGCTAGAAATCTTATTTGTAAAATAAGTTACATGGATATTTTAGTTAAAATAAAAATAAATTATTTTCCCTTTTAATTTTTAAAGCTGTGCTTTTTCTAAAACCAAGGAGAAAACTGTCCTTATTCTTCCAAAGGTCACACATACTGCCAGTGGCAAGGGTTCTGTCATTTCCCTTAAAGCTTTATTTGTTTCTTTTGTTTGTTTGTTTGTTTTTTTAAGAGCCTACTTTTTGCAAGCATTTCTACTTACTGAAGGGATAATGCTTCAAGTCTGCACCTGTACCTATACCTACAAAGATGTTATTATTAATTCTAGTTAATGATGTTAATGGTAGTATTGAGAGCGAGTATGTAGCTATTAGTCTTTTCCTTTTTTCTTATGTCTTCACAAGGTAGATAAGGTGACACTTTTAATATTTCTCTGGAGAATCTTTTCAACTGTCAATTTTTGCAGTATCAATAGCTGTGGAACACTATCATGGATGCCCTGGCAAGAGAGAAGAGAAAGCTTTATTGGAGTTGGGAAAGAATTAGGAAGAAAATCAAATGTGTGTGTTTTTTTGTTTGTTTGTTTTTGCTTTTTTGTTTTTGAAAAGACAGTGGAACTGAATGAATCTTATGTTGGTATGATTTACTAGAGTCTTTAATTGTCCATTTAGTTCCATTTTCATAGAGATAGACCTAAGTTCTTTTTTAGATATGGTCATTTTTTTTTCTAGGAATATTTGGATCTGGGATTGTCAGTTAAAAATAGCGATTAGCTGAAACTGTATTAAAGTACAAAGACACATTTGTAATACCTTAATCAATAAAAATAAATAAATAAAATGGCATATTTATGTGTTAAAAAAAAGTACATAATGCAAAATCTTAATCCAGACTAAGTTTTAAAGGATCAAGTTGATTTAAAAACAAAAAATAACACCTTAATAAGAGGCTTGTTTTGTAAATATACAAAACTTTTTTATGTATATAGTAAAGAAATTCATTAGTTGAAGTATTTTTATTCTGGTATACATACTTCCAATTTTGCTCCTTCCTTTACTATCTGCAAAAACCCACAAAGAAAATAGTATCAGAAACCCCCCCACACAAAAAAATAGTACTAGATGCTTCCTATTAAAAATAAATATATATAAAAAAGAACTATGGTAAGGGAAATAGTTAAGTTTTTTTTGTTTTTATAAGTGATTTTTAGGCAGTACATAATACTTATAGTATATCCTGAACTGTGTGATGTAATTACTTTCTTTCCTTGAGGAAAATAAGTAGCCTAGTGCTTCTTCACCTTTGGCCTAGATCAGGACTATTTGAAAAAACAAATCACAGGTGTATATCAGAGGCTGGACATTCTCTCTCTGATGGACATTTTTATAAATCTGCAATTTGTATGTATTTACTTGGGAAGCCTCGTAGATGGTCCAATGACAGAACAGTTTGGGTTAAATTTTTTCTTAGAACTATATTAGAATTTAAATATATTGGATGTGACAAAAATAAGCACTTTTATAATTTTAGAATTATTTTATATTTATTGATTTGACTGAATCATTTGAATTGAGTTTTTTATACTATATTTAAATTTAAAACAATTGCTATTCTTATTTTTCAATTAATATTCCTTTATGTGGAGTTTTTATTGTCAATTATACTTCTAAAATGAAACTTTTGGTAGTCTTTGGTGATTTTATATAGACCTATCCTACTTACTGAAAACTCTGAATTTTAATAGTTATTTTATAATATTTTTAGTTATCTATGTTGTAGTTAGTACTATAATACAAATAATTCTGAATATCTAGGACACTACTTCATAATTCATGTTAAATTACCCACAAGTATATAAATTTGTGCTTTTTAGGTTCTGTGCAGTTTTATAAAATTTATTATGTAAATAAAGTTGATCTTAAATGGGAATATAATTAACATACATGATATATGCATTTAATTTATAATAGATATATAGAAAGCAAATAGATCAGTCTAATTTATGTTTAGATGTTTGAATAATTATACATAAATGTATTTTGAAGATATTATCTCAGAAACTATCCCACATTTATGTATATGAGATTATGTTATATTTAGCATAGCCTGCTTTTTTGTTTACTTGCTAAATTTCTATGTCAGTGTACATACATAGCATTTATTCTACTAAGACCTACTTAAAAAAAAAGATCATATTCTCTTTTAGCATAATGAGTTATAAGTATTTAATTACTTCCAAACTCATAGATGCTTTACTTGGTTTATCTATTCTAAATACAATAAATATTTCATTAACTTCATACTCTTACTCAGATTGATGATTTAAGTTAGAGAGTTGGTATTGGTCATTGTCAGCATCAGTGGGTGATAAATAACAGTATGCGAAAGCAAACTGAATATTCCATTTTTGACCCATGGAGGTTTCAAATGTGCATTATTAGTTTTACAGATTGTTAACATTTTGGAGGAAAAATAAATTTTATAACCCTTTTAGGTGACTTGCACTATTTTTACTTAAAAACAGAAGTTTACTGACTTGTCCAACATCATGCAAATTAATTGGCAGAACTAATGAAAACTAAAGTCTGCCTATTTACTTTGATATAATCACATGCCTAATAAAAATGGCATACAAATGGTTTTCCAGTGATTACAGCAGTTATACTCTTAAATACATCATCTGATACTTAATTGTCTGAATTAGAGCTCCCTCTTTAATTTCAGCCTAACCTTTCTTAAATTTCCTCCCAAATTAGAGCATAGTTATATTTATATGGTTTCCTGTATTTTTGTCTTCGTGTTATCGGTTCTGCATATCCAGATATTATTAGTCAGGGTTTACAGTAAGTTTTCTTTCCGGTCAACAGATCATTATAACTAAATGTTAATTCATTTCAGAGCATTGACTTCAATGGCATTTTGTAAATACGATAGTGAAAATTTTGTCCCTTTTTGTTTTATTCAGCAAAGTAGTGAAAAATAAACTGCAAAAAGTGAATCTAAAACTTTTTTTAAAGTCTGTCAAATGAAAGTTTTCTTAAAACTAATTTTATTTTAGTAAATTTAGCTTTTTAATGGAAAGAAATTAGTATTTTTAAAATTATATGTGACTTTGAAAAATCCAGAATTGCATTTTAGAGAAATCATGTAGTACAATTCTCTAATAACAAAATTGATTTTAATAATAACTACATTTTGTCTTTAACTTAGAAACCTATTTGTCATAATGACTTTCATTTTTTGTAGAATACTGTTGAAGAATTGATTTTCTGTTTATCAACCATGAAAAATTTTTTTTTTTGGCTTAAAACTAGTACTTTTGTTTTTTCCTTAATAAAGAAGGCATTTTATTCTTTTTAAAACTCTTCTTACTAAAAGTAATTGCTTAATTGTGGAAAATACATTTATTTTATAATTAAGAATTGTTTGTATTTTTATGCATTCCTTGATTCTGATACTGCCTCTTCAAATAGTAGCAGGCTATTTGAGATTAAATTTTACACCGAAAGGAAACTAATATCAATAAGTTTGACCTCTTATTTTAAAGATAAGAAACTTTAAAATAAGAGGCACAGTGTGGTTTCCCTGCAATCACATTAGCAGCTCACCCAACACTGACTTCATTCGTTCTTCCTTGATCAAAATTGATTGTGTTTTCCTCCCCAAATCATCAAACTTTGTATCCCTTGAACATAATTTTAACTGCTATAATCAGTTCTTGACATCTGTAACAGTAAGAGCAAAATATTTATATATAATACATTTGCATTAATAATACTATTCCTAATCAATTTTTCTAAAACACCTCATGTGAAATTGTCACACAGAAGTAAAATTAACCTATATTTTTGCTTTTTCATAGTATCCTGCGGAATCACCAGATTGTTTTGTGGATTTTCCTATTCCATTTTCTGTTTCCTGGACTACACAGGTACATTCTTAAAAAAGCATATTCTGTTTATTTATATGTGGCCATTATAGGTTATAAAGTGATTTTCTTTTAGTTTTCTGTAAGCATTTGTTTATAAACAGGTCTTCTAGAGTATATCTTTTATATTTCCTAGTAGTTAATATTCATTTTCTCTCTGACTGCACACACATACACTCACACACGTAAATACACCATTCAGCCTTTAGATCTTTATGCTTCAGTTTAGACAAACATGAAGAAGCTCTGTTGACAGAAATTTTGCTTTAAATTTAAATTCTAAAGCACTGTTTATAAAACAGTGAGCAGTAAGTAGAAAATTGGGTGACATTTTTCAGACTGTTAAATCTTTTAACATTGTTGACAAAATATCAGAGAATCTTTAAAAGAGAATGAGTTATGATTAAAAATATAAGCCTTTCCCTTTTAACTCTTTTTTTTATTTATTGTTTTTAAGTGTTTTTCCTGCATTCATCCTTGGACCTAGACAATTTTATTTTTGTATGTGTTTCCAAGCATTTATACTTTGAGTGAAGAATATTGGAGATTCTTTCTCCTTATCCTGTCAATTGAATTTCTCAATACATTGATGATATCTAATAAGATAATGTGTTTAGAAGTGCATTGTAAACTGTAACATTATATAGTTATAAGGTATCATTCTCAGTAGTATCATCATCAATATTATATGTGTGGTTTCTGAAGACCTGGCAGAATAGTAGCAGTTAAATTCAAAGAACAACCTAATGATGATGGGCATGGTCCTTCTTTCATGGGTAAATTGTGTCACACATTTCTGTTCTTATGCAAAGAAAACAAAATTCCTAGTGACATTTTACAAATATTTTTTGTTAGGAAATTTTGTTACATTCAAGTGAAAATTTATGCTAGAAATCTATAAAGCAATTGTCCTGTATATGAAGTGTTTTGTTGTTGTTGTTGTTTTTAAAAAAAACACCTAACAGCATTTAAATAGTTTTATGAAGGTTTTACATTTGTAAAAATATATTCAAAATTATTTTTCTCATTTTTTTTTTTCTCTAGAAACATAAAAAAGGCTTTCTCTTTTCAATTAGAATAGAGAAAAAAGCAAAATAAAGGAAAGGAAAAGCCATGTGATTTGCTTTGGGTATTCTGTTATGTATCATAATTATAGTAGAGGCCCAGTGCAAGAATTCATGCACCAGTGAGGTCCCTCTGCCTGGCCCATGGCATTGAGCCAAAACTGGCTCTCTGATATTCCCCAAGAGGTCCTGAATTACAAGAGTGCACAGGCCAGGCCAAGGGACCCCGTGGTGCATGATTGGGGCTGGGGAGGGATGCAAGAGGTTGGCCAGCCAGGGAGGAATCACAGGAGGGCTCCAGGGCATATCTGGCCTGCCTCCCTCAATCCCTATCGATCTACCGGACCCCAACAATAAGCTAACTTATGGGTTGGAGGGTCTGCCTCCTGGTGGTCAGTGCACATCATAGAGACTAGTTGACTGGTTGACTGACCTCTAATGGTCAGTGCGCATCCTTAGCATATCATTAGCATATTAGGCTTCTATTATATAGGATAGAAAATAGTGTGTTGACTTAAAAAAAAAAGATATGAATTGTATAGCTTTGCTTTTTTTAATATACATTGTTTATTTGGCTCTGTAAGCTTTATCTTTGTTAATTTTTAAAAATATGTTTTTATTCATTTCAGAGAGGAAGGGAGAGGATAAAAGAGATAGAAATATCAGTGATGACAGAGATTCATCTATTGGCTGCCTCCTGCATGCTCTCTACTGGGGATCGAGCCTGTTACCTGGGCATACACCCTGACCAGGAATCCAAACATGGCCTCCTGGTCCATGGGCTGATATTTAACCACTGAGCAACACCAGCCAGGCTTTATCTTTTTTTAATATGAGACAGTGCAATAACATTATACCCAGATTGCATTACTCTTTCCAGATATGCTATCTGTAAATTTTACTTCAGTATTTATCAAAACCCAAATTTGAAGAATATGTTTTTGATGTTTCTTCATTTTTTTTTTTAAATGTAGATAACTATACAGGTTTTCCGCAGATTTTATTCTGTGAAAAAAGTTTGCATCTCCACAGAAAAATGCACTTACTTTGTTTTGCCTTTTAACAACATTAATGTGTGACTAGACTAGACTAAAAAAATCTTTGAAGAAATTTTTAAAAAATTTTATATCTTAACATTAGTTCAAGTGCCTTAGATATTAAGTATGAAGTGTTTATAATACTAATTTAAATTCAAAATTTAGATTTAACTGGGTCATACAAATGTTCTGTTTTGTATTAGCTCCAAGAAAATAGAATTAATTAGTAGTAATTGGAATGTCACAAATTAAATTTTAAGTTACAGAATATACTAAAATCCGTAGCAAAGTACAGAAAGAAATTTGGATACCTTATTATCCACAACTCAGTTTTGACAGATGTTAATATTTTGTCACATTCACTACAGAAATATCTCTCCCTGTTTCTGTCCTCTCTTAGGAATAAAATGTTTTTGGAACAACTAAGATTTACCCCTCCTTTTCCTTCCTCCTTTCCTCTTCCTTTTCCTCTCTTCCTTTTGAGAGGTAACCACTTCCCTGAAATGATGTGAATGCTATCTATGCATATTTTTGCTACATTTGTTTATGCCATTTTCTATCACATTTGCAGTCTGATTTTTTACAATGGTTTTTACAATGGTTTACCAATGACCCATGCATGTGTGGCACATTTATTTTAAATGCTTTATATCATTCCATTATATGAATCTACCAGTTAATTTATCTGTTGCCCAGCTGATAAGGTTGTTTGCAATTTCTCACTAAATTTTTTGCTGCAGTGACATCCTAACATGTTTCTTTGCACACATGTGAGACTTTTAGTGCTGCTTTTACCTAGTAGTGAAAATGCAGGGTTGTAGGGAACTGTGCCTCTCCGGGATTACTACATGCTGCTAGTTGCCTACCCAAATTGGTTATATAAGTTTATACTCCTGCCCAGTAATGCATAATAATTCCTACATTTTCAAAGACCTTCCAAATCTTAGTCTGATTTTATTCTGACCTTAATTCTTATTAGGAATGATAAATCATTATTACCGTTTTTATAACCTGAGTCTATTTAATTTTTTTTTTATTATAAGCATTCCTTATATATTCTGGATACTGATTCTTGTTGATTATTTTGAAATTTTAGTATCTTCTCCCTGAAGGATGTCTTTTAACTTTGTTTATTATATGTTTTGTCAATCTGAAGTTTAACAATTTCTTCCTTGTGATTTGTACTTTTTTGGTCTTGAATTGAAAAATCTTGCATATGTTGTTCTGAAAATATATTCTATAGATTGTTCTAAAAGTTATACATTTTTCATATTTAATTAAGTATTTTTCATATTTATTTACTATTTAAGTCTGAGGTAGGAATCTATTTACACTTGGTTATTCTATAGATGCTCATTTGGATGTGGCGTCTTCATTTGTGGAGATTGGGAAGTGATTTCAATTTTTCATTTTTGCATGCCATTAGACTTTAGAACATTTTCAAAATATATCTATCTATTCTTTGAAAATCTACAATAGTTGTACATCGTAAGTATTTTGGTGATGTCACCACGGGAATGAACTCTTGAGTCTTTTAGGTATGAGAAGAGTGTTGGTGATGTGTTTTGAAAGTAAGAAGCCATATTAGACTTGTTTGCTGTTTTTGACTTTTTTTCATTGACTTGGAAATGATTCTCCTTGTGAGAATTATTTTTTTTAAAAACAAGTTTTAAACAGTTGTGGTTCTCAACCAAAATAAATGCTACTATTGTAGTCTAATAGCAAACATTTAAGAGACTGTTAGTAGGCTCCAGATTATTGATTTTAAAAAACAAACAAACATTCCTTTTTTGCTTTTGTACATTTTTTTCCCCGTTGGATTCAGTGTTTCTGGACTTTAAACTTGGAAGATCTTTATTTTCCTTTCTTTTTGTAAAATAATAGACATGGCTTTGTGGCATCCATATTAAAAATGGGTAATTTTCCTTATGGTCCCTGTCTTCCTGCTGGGTTGATAATGTTTTGATGTATTTTTCTCTTGCTCTGATGAGAGGTCTGCTGCTGCTGCTCTGACATATTCATTTGGATGAATAATTATAACTTGCACAATGTCAAGCTGAAGATGGTAGGGTTTTGTGCGTCATGACAAGCCTAGTAGCCAGTGCAGGTGTCTCACAGCATGATCAGCAACAGCCAGTGTATTCTGGCTCAGAGGAGACATTTAGAGAAGTAAGAAATCAGCACCAAGGGCAAGGCTGCTGCTACCACTGCTGCTGTGCTATGTGCCAAAGAAGCACAAAGTGCTTCTCAAAGACAAGTGACTGCACACCTCTTTTCAGATAGCTACTTTGTTTACTCCATTATATTTTTAAAATAGATTTCAGTATAGAACGTAAGAACATGTCATGATTTTAACCTTATCCTACTTCCCAACATGACGAATACTCCGAAATGTGTCTTTAACAGTCTGCTATCTTTTGTACTTTTACATACAGATCATATAATGAGACTATAGAATTCCCTAATGTAAGATTTTAAGTGCATTGATATCAATGATTCTATTTTTTTTTTAAATGATTTTCTCTAGGTTGCTGACCAACCCAAAATGGATGTTAAAATTGAAGTTCTATCTATACTTGTGCCATTCAGGGCAGGCTTGGCGAAGTATTCTTGCCAGGGTGGTTGGAATTTTCAGATTTGGTATTATACAGTAAGCAGTGGTCTTTATATTTTTAACATGAATATCTCAGATTTTTTGGAATAATGCCATGAATGCAAGAAGAGCAAAACTAATGATAAAGCCTCTGGCTGATAATCTGGTGGAGAATGAAGAATTTGTAATTAAAGGAAACAGTCTTATTACATAGCAGGGAGCATGATCCATTAGTTAGAGCAGCAGACTAGCAGTTGGATATCCTGGGTTCTGTTTACAGTTCAGCCATTGATTTAATTGTATAATTTC